TTGAACTCCCGAGACTACAACTCGTACGGCTCTCGGCGAGGTAACGACGCCGTTATGGCCAGAGGGACGTTCGCCAACATCCGTCTCTTCAATAAGTTTCTCAACAAGCAGGCGCCACAAACCGTCCACCTGCCGACAGGAGAAACGGTAGGACCTCTTCACCTCTGAGCTGCAGGAAGCCTCGCGCTGAATCGTTGTGCAACACTCATTTATCAGAAGACACAGCTGAAATATCAGAGCCAGCACAGTCAGGGCTGCATGCTGCCCTCTGATGGACAAACTGTGCAACTTCTCAACAGAAGTCAGACACAAGCTGTTTAAACTCTGATGTTAAATTATATTTAATTTATGCCTCGATCACATTTTCTTTGTTTAAATTACAAACCAGCTAATATTATTATAGCTGTATACACATGACCTTCAGTGCATCTAAAGAAGTGTGGAGAGCAGATCATGAAGTTTTCTGATGATCTTGAGTCAATGTTGTGATAATAATAAACTGAAGCCTGCGGACACGAGTTTACGAGTTCTGAGGTTGCATAGTTTGTCCACCAGAGGGCAGCAACCCTAACAGTAACCTGCAGCTGTTCCAGGAACACCAACACTCAGCTGGTGTGAGCATAAATAACTGCACATAGCAAATGTTAGACACATCTATATGTTTCCCATATTTATATCAACGGTTATGCCTGAAAGAGAAAATATATTTCAGAACATCAGAGCTTTAAATCACCAACGACTGTGCCGTGACTCTTTATCTCGATAATATGTGAGCTATGAAGAAGTGTGCATCAGGAACTACAAACTGCATGTAGATTCATTTACATGAAACACTATTACAGTAACTCTAACAGTGCTCTTAGGTTTGTTCTTGAAAATCAAGTTGTGAAATAAAACGCAGCAGTAATAAAAAGTAACGGTCAAAGCTTCCTGACTCTGTGTCTGTAAGGATGCAGCCAGGAGGCCATTCTGCGTTTAACAGGGAGAAACCTCCACCAGAGCCAGGCTCAGGGAGGGCGGGGCCATCTGCTGGTAGACGTGCTGTGGACGAGACGCCGATTAATGACAGTATTTGGTTGATAACACAGACAGAGCAGTTCACATTTACAGCTGCAGGCCTGTGGGAGGAAGCCTGAGACAACCAATGCAAACACGGGGACAAAGGCAGACGGTGGACTCAAACCCAGGACCTCCTTTTGTTACTGCACTAAACTACAACAACAGTCACCTTTATATTGGACGGACCCTGAAACAACAGGCAGTGGTCATGAACACACTGTGACCTGAATCACTGAATTTCTGTGCGTTTCTCTCCTTCGTGCTGTAACCTCATCAGCGACGACGCCGAACCAAAGCCCAAAGGTCAGGGCAGGGTTCAGACCTCACAGGGTTAATTATCACTGTTGTGTAAAAGCATCAGTGTGAACCATGTTAGACGCCCGAGCGTAGAGACGGGGTCGGCATTGCTGACAGATAACAGATGTAGTGCTGTTGCCGGGCGTATCTTATGAGCAGATTGTTACGATTGGAGCATCTGTGTTCTTGTTTCAGCTGGACGTGTTCGACGCTGCAGACAGGTACCAGCAGTCCAGAATCCCTTTGCTCGTTCTCGCGGGGAAGGAGTACGGCTCTGGGAGCTCCAGGGACTGGGCCGCAAAGGGCCCCTTTCTGCTGGTAAACTCAGACTGTTTTGTTGGGGTTTGCTCACATAGTTGTTTGCAGGTCTCAGGTGTTTTCTGTGTTTGCAGGGCATCAAGGCTGTCCTGGCAGAGAGCTATGAGCGGATCCACCGCAGTAACCTGGTTGGGATGGGAGTGATTCCTCTGGAGTATCTACCAGGAGACACGGCCGACAGCCTGGGTCTGACCGGCAGAGAGCGCTACAGCGTGGTCATCCCCGAGCCGCTCACACCCAGGATGGTCGTAGACATCAAGGTACAGACGGCGAGGGTAAACTGCTGCAGGCGTGTTGGGATGTGACGGCTCACCCGCTCTCTCCTGCTCCCACAGCTCGACTCGGGGAAAACGTTCCAAGTGCGCATGAGATTTGACACGGACGTGGAGCTGGCGTATTTCCGGCACGGAGGCATCCTCAACTACATGATCCGCAAGATGTCCGAGTCCTAACTGATGTGTCTGATCGTGGGCTGCACAGCATAGCTGTAGTGTGTGATTCTGGCTTTACAGCCACACTGTTC